CTGAGCCTAAGATTGTCACGTGGCATTGCACAATTCTATTAACATAACGCCTTAGCGATCCACATAGGAGCACCGTCAAAGCAAGTTCAGGACTACTCTTCATCCACCACTTAGAAGGATGTGAAGTTCTAATCGAAGGTATGAAGACCAAGATGGTGTAGAGTTTTGTGTAGTCTCAGTCTCCTTTCGTTGTATAGAAGTTGTTTAACCTTGCTTTCGCAACTCGGTCATATAGGCAGGAAGACTTAGAGAAACACACTTTGTCCGGAGTCCATTGTATGCATCATTATTTCCAGAGTAGGACCGTGGACATGGTACATTCCCAGACGTTTTGCCGGCATTGTCAGTGAGTCTCGCTATTTGAAGCACCATATGACAACTCGTCAAAGAGACAAGTCAAGCCCATCCTTTGACCAAACGTGGGCTAAACATTTGTGGCATCTTCTCTTCTGCCCTGCCTTACCAGTCACAATTTTTAACGTGCTTATTTTTAATGTAGTGAAGTATGCTCCTTCGAGCGGCATTCATGAAAACCCTTCACATCACCCCCTTCACACCACCCCCTTCACACTTGTGTTAGGAATGTTGACCAGAGTCTGTCATATAGTTACGTAGTCCTTCTATGGGTCCTATCAAAGTCTCCCTCTTGCCCCGTCGAATCCGTTTGCTATCTCCATGGTATATGTATTTCACTCAACCCCTGCCCCCCCCCTGTGCTACTCGAGACGTAATTCGTCCATCCCTTGTACCTGGGTGATTGATTAGAGACTAAAGCCTCAGAGTAAGTCTCATGGTCATGTGCTTGCTACATGGACCACGTCTCTTGTAAACCAATTGTCAGCCAACTAGCTTCAATCGCCGCCTCGTCCATCCTGTCTCTATCCCTAATAATAAATCCATGACTTACCATGCCCTAATTGCTGCATGCCAACCCACAAATGTTGTGGTACTGCTGGCTTTGTTTAGGTACAATGTTGAACCACAACGTTTGTGGGTAGGTACACAAGAGACTAAGACATAGGAAGTCATAAACTTGGTATAATAGATAGAAAGAGGATAGAAATAGTGGAAGCTAGAGCTAGTTGG